TTTTTTTTTTTTTTTTTTTAGAGAGGGAGTGGGGGGAGAGAAAAACATCGATGTGAGAAAGATTGGTTGCTCCTGTATGCACCTGGACCAGGGATCAAGCCTGAAACCTGGGCATGTGCCCCCCCTGGGAATTGAACCTGTGGCCCAACCAACTGAGCCACACTGGCCAGGGCTGAGTGTGGGATTTTAGGGCAAAAGGCCTGACAAAGATTTGAGGTGGGTGTGACAAACAATGGCAATGGAATGGACACATGCAGACAAGGCCATGGTTAAGGGCCGTCGGCAATCCCTCGACCTGTTGGACTGAGGCTCCCTCATCTACCAGGCAGGTGTGAGGGATACACAGGCCCTCCTTCAAATCTGAAACCCAGCCCTGGCCAGTGTGGCTCAATTGGTTGGGTGTCATCCTGTGCACCAAGAGGTCGCAGGGTTCGATTCCCAGTCAGGGCATAGGTCCGGGTTTCAGGCTCCATCCCCAGTAGGGGGCGAGCAGGAGGCAGCCGATGGATGTTTCTTTCATCAGTGTTTCTCCCTCTCCCTTCCTTTCTAAAATCAATAGAAACGTATTCTTAAAAAAATAAATCTGAAATCCAAAGAGCTGTTAGACAAGAGGTCATCCCCTGACACTACGCAGCAGCACCTGACCCACCCTGGCATGGGGTCCCCTTATAGTCGATTTCCCCACCTGGTGGGAATGTCCATCTATTTCATGCAGAAACTATGATGGGGTTACTTCCAAGGGCCCTGCAGGGTACTGATGGTGGGATGTGCTCTCTGAACTACAAACCATGTTGTCCCTCAAAACTGAAAAACTCCGGATCCCAAAACACATACCTGGCCCCAGGGGTTTCAGGGCAGGGCCAGAGTGCCACACGCCTTGGGGGACGGCTCCACGCTCCCTAATCATTCCCATCTCGAGAACTGCAAGGAATGTTCAAGGCAGCTTTCCAAGTGTGGGCCTGAAGCTAGGAGAGAGAAATCCACTACAATTTCCAGTGGTGGGGCTCTGGGGGCCACCTGTGTTGACTCCTCGAGACTGAGCAGGGTCACCCAGGGGCCAGCCCTGCTGCTGTCGCAACAGCTTTGCTCTTGAACACACTGCCCCCTAGTGACCGAGACCAGGTCCGGAAGCTGAGGCGTTGTTCTGATTGATGCTGGTTGAATGTCTGCAAACTACCCCGAGACTCAGGCCCCCTGATTTCCAGCCAACCAGCCTGCTGGTTATCTTCACTCGGGAGGCTTGAACGAAGGAAAAAAAGGCCACTGGCCTGACCTTTACAAAAGGTAAATCTGTTTATTTAAAAATGAAAATCTGTTTATTTAAAAATGATACATACGAGCAGTTTCACTGCCAACCGAGATGGAGCAACATCAAGCTGAACCCTGAAATCGCCAGAGCCCCGTCAGTTTCCCACCACAGGACGGGAGGGGAACTGAGGCACAGCGCCTCCCAAAGGCTGTCAGGGGAAACTGCTCTAAAAACAGTCTGCTTTTTAAAAAAATGCTCAAACCAAAAGGCGGCAAAAGAGGAGGAAAAGGGGAGCAAAGACAGACGGACAGCAGCTCTGTCTGTGGAGTCGCTCCCTCTCCGTGCCAGCGCTTCACTAATAAACTCTCACTTTAAACTCTAAAGAAAAAAGAAATGAAGAAACATGGACAAAGGGGAACTCAATAGCAAGTCGATAGGTTTAAATCTAACCATGTTAAAGAACAGTTACACTGCTTTTTTAAAAGGCAGAGGTTGCACACTTGGGGAAAAAAGAAAGATCCAGCTAGATGCTGTTTACAAGAACCCGCCTTAAATACGGGATGGGGGGGACTAAAGGGAAACTAAATACTGGGGTGCCCTTGATTGGACTCGAAGATATTAGCAGGAAAGGCGGTGAAATGCCTATAAAGCCTGCCTTCAGTCAGCAGTGACGAACCAACGCTGGCTTCTCAGCCTCAACAAAGGGATGACAATAGGGTGAGGTGACGGCCCCGGGGGGAGCTGGGCGGAGGGTATGCGGGGCCCTGAATGCTCCCCGCGGCTTCCCTGTAAGTCTAAAGTTACCCTACAACACCAAGGCTAACTTGAACAAGTAAAAAGGATGCAGCTGCAAGGCCAAGCCCGCGAGCAGGCACAACATGACACGCAGGTGTCGGCGGGAGAGTCCGTCACAGTGGAAAACGCGGAGGCAGCCGCCTCAGTCCCGTCCGCCGCCTGCGGTCGCTGCCCCGACCCGTCCCGCCCCCGCCCGGCAATTTCATCCCGGCCTGGAGGCGAGCAGGCCGCAGCCTCGGCGGTTCCGCTGCGAGAAGTTTAGAAAAAGGCCTGTTTGCCGAATAAACTCCTCAGCCTGCACCCGTGGCCTTGCGGGACCTGCCTCTTCACTCGAGGCCCCCCCCGCACCCCCCAGCGGGGCGCCCTCCCGCCTCCAAGCGCTTGCACCCTCCGACCCCTGCGCCGGGCGCGCGTTCCCGGTTCACCCGCTAAGGCGGCTCCCGTTTCCGGTGCGGCCTGTTTTCACCCCTTCTCTTTGAGCTCGTCATGCCCTTTCCCCGGCCTCCCCACCCCGGGACGGCGGGCAACCTTACGAGTCCCTTCGCGCTGGCGTACGTCTAGCAATCGTGACGATAAACGGCTCCCACGAACGCAGCCGAAACACGGCCGCGCGTGTCCCCTCCGGGACACCGTCCCCGCCGCGTCTTCCGGCTCCCGTAGCTCGCCCACTGGGTCCTGGCGTAGGCGGGAGGGCGGGCTCAAGTCCAGCTCGCCGCGCCCATTGGCTGTGCCGGCCGGGTGGAGGCGGGGCGAGCCCTCCGCCTGACGTCAGGACGCTGCGGTCAGAACGTCGAAGCCCAAGGAAGACGAGAGTCNCCCCCGTCCTGTTCCTGTGCCCTCGCCTCGTGCGCGACCGTCGGGTTCTCCCGCGGGACTCGCCCTCGAGCCCGTCCGTGCTTGTCACTGTCCCTTCACGTTTAAGCCCCCAGCCCTTGCCCCCGGGATGCGCGCTCGCTTTCTCGTACCCCTCCCCGCCGCGCCCTAACTTCCCGGGCTTCCTCTCCAGACCCCGACCCCGACCCCGTCCCCGGGGGGCGTCGCCTCCTGACCCCCAGCCCGCGCGCCCTCTAGACCTTCCCACGCGGGGTCCCCTTCGCCTTGGGGCACCCTCCTGGAATTGCCCTCGAGGCCTTCTCAGAAGCCCTTCCTCCCGCTGACCGCCTCCCTGGGCGCCTCAGCCTCTCCGGGTTTCTAGGAGTCACTCCCAGAAGCCCCCCTTTATTGCCCTCGTTGGTCTAAGCCCCCCTTTTTCCAGAGCTCTCCCAGCCCTGAGGGCCCCGCTCCCTGCTTGGCCGCCTCTCGGGGGTTTCCCTCCAGCCCTGCTTCCATGCTCCCCTGGGAAACGCCTTCAGATCTCCCTCTTTCTCAGTTCCGTGGTTTCCCACCTAGAGCACTGCAGGGCGGGAGGCCAGGCCTTCCCGTCACCCCGAGGCCCTTTTNCTCTCCCCTTTAAGGCCGCTTCTGGGGCCTTTCCCAGCCCCCGTCCTGTTCCTGTGCCCTCGCCTCGTGCGCGACCGTCGGGTTCTCCCGCGGGACTCGCCCTCGAGCCCGTCCGTGCTTGTCACTGTCCCTTCACGTTTAAGCCCCCAGCCCTTGCCCCCGGGATGCGCGCTCGCTTTCTCGTACCCCTCCCCGCCGCGCCCTAACTTCCCGGGCTTCCTCTCCAGACCCCGACCCCGACCCCGTCCCCGGGGGGCGTCGCCTCCTGACCCCCAGCCCGCGCGCCCTCTAGACCTTCCCACGCGGGGTCCCCTTCGCCTTGGGGCACCCTCCTGGAATTGCCCTCGAGGCCTTCTCAGAAGCCCTTCCTCCCGCTGACCGCCTCCCTGGGCGCCTCAGCCTCTCCGGGTTTCTAGGAGTCACTCCCAGAAGCCCCCCTTTATTGCCCTCGTTGGTCTAAGCCCCCCTTTTTCCAGAGCTCTCCCAGCCCTGAGGGCCCCGCTCCCTGCTTGGCCGCCTCTCGGGGGTTTCCCTCCAGCCCTGCTTCCATGCTCCCCTGGGAAACGCCTTCAGATCTCCCTCTTTCTCAGTTCCGTGGTTTCCCACCTAGAGCACTGCAGGGCGGGAGGCCAGGCCTTCCCGTCACCCCGAGGCCCTTTTATCCCACACCCAGAATTCTCTTCAGACTCTACCCCAGGGGCTCCTCCTCCTCAGACCCCCCCTTTCTACCTGACCTCTCGTGAGTCCCTCTGCTGCTCTT